TATGTTAGAAACACTAAGAAACATAAGAGAAAAACATTAACAGAGAGTCTTGTTATGTTTTGGTCCATTATCTGTAACTCAAAGAAAGCAAGAAGAAAGGAGAGTTTTGAGACCCCACACGCTCCCTTCTGTTATTTGTAACCAGAGGGAGGCACAAAGCACAGAGAGCACTGGAGCAATCAGTCTGCTGCTTAGTGTTCCAAGGTTACTCAGAATCCCAGGTGTTCCTGGCTTGTGAATAGCTCCCTTGTCCACCAATTAACTCAGCTCTTTAAATTTATTTCAAATTTTTAAAATTCTTTTTATTTATATAGAGAATAAATTCCATGCATTTAATATATACAGCCTTAATAGCATAATGATAGCTTCTACATTATGCTTTTCCCTTCCTTCACTCCTACTCTCTCTCCTAGTTACATTCTTATTTTTCTTTTAATTTTTACCATGATATATTCCCAGTTCGCTTTACAATCACAAGTGTAATCTCCACTAAACAGGTAATATGTAGAAAAAGCTCTGTCCAGGGCCAGCATTGTAGCATAGTGGTCAAGCCATGGCTTGTGGTGCTGGCAACACACTTGGGTTCTAGTTTGAGTTGTGTTTGCTTCAATTCTAATACAACCTCTTTTTTAATGTGCCTGGGAAAGCAGAAGATGGCCCCAGTCTTTGGGCCCTTGCATGTGTCTGGGATACTCAGAAGAAATAACCCTTGGCTTTATTCTGGACCAGTCTTGATCATTTGGGGAGTGAATTAGTAGCTGGGGGATCTCTCTCTCTCACACACACACACACGCACGCACATACACAAACACACACACATATCACTCTTTGTCTCTGTTTTGTTTGTAAGTATATCTCCTTCTGTGTTATTCTGCCTTTCAAATCAATAATGTGATTGATAAAAATGAAAGTACTACTTCTAAATATTATAGAAAAGATTTGTGAATAATAATCAAATTTCAAAATATAAATTTCACTCTTACAGATTATATTTTTGTGCTGTATATATTAGTTGCCTCAAATCAGCGAAAATATGACGTTTACTTTTCAGAGTTTCTGAATTCACCAAGCGTAATGGTCTCCAAATGCTTCTTTTTTGTGATTTTTTGGCAAATAGGTCTCCCTTCTAGTTTTTTTTTTTTTTTTTTGTTAGCATCTGAGGTGTATTAAATTGTGACTGGATAGATAGATAGATAGATATTCTATCGCACTTAGCATTTTATAAATTTCAAGAACTTGACATGTGATGCATATTAAAGGCCATGATAATGATAATAGTAGCTGTAAAGATTATGATTATGGCAGAAATATTGCTGGTGATGATTTCTTTGTCAATGCTTAGCAAAGCTGCATTCACAACACAATGAAGCAGCAATGTCTTAGCCATTCAGGATATGGAATGGCATGGACAGGGTGACATGTGTCTTTCTGGGTTTATATTTGGAAAAAAAATTTGAGATTTTTTTATTGCCCTTTGAATCATGATTATTTGTTAATATAAAAAGATTAAATTTGATGTCATAAATAGTATTTCCCATCACAATATTATTTCAGTATATTACAGTCAAGAGAAAAGGGAAGGGGAAATAAAAGGAGAAACTGATGTACTGATATGAAGCTATGGTACCTATTCTGTTAGGGTGCCACCATGACCCAATCTATAGATTAGGTATTCCTCAAGTCTATGATATTTTAAGGTCTGACTTCATCATTAACTGTTGAATGATTCTCTCAATCATATTCCATCCTCAATTCCAACTCTCTTATGTTGTTTTTCATACCAGAAAAAATTCATGTTTTATATACACACATTTAAGGGTGTATTAATACTTCATTACTTCCCCCCATGCTACCAGCCTCATTTCCTTCCCCCTTTTAATTTTTTTTTTATTTTTCACAATGACATACTACAAATCATCTTTATAATCACAGGCTTAACATTCCACTAAATAAAGAATTAGACATGAGATGATATGGCAAGATGGAAGTATAGGGTTTTGGGTACGTTAACTGCATGGAGAAGGATTCATGGAGAAGCAGAGAGGGCATAATTGCAGGTAAGAGGAGTAAGCAGATCAACTGCAGAGACATCAGGAGACCCATGGACAGAGAAGCAGAAGAGAAAGCAGAGGGGCGCTGCTGCAGACACCCGAGCAACCAACAGAGAGCTTCTCTGGGAGCCAGGTGGGAAACAGGAGGTCACTGGGATCAGAGGAGTCAATCCATGAAATGGCAGGTCTAGCTGAAATTTAATTGAATCATGACCATAAACAGCAGTGGAGCCCTTGATGATGGGTACAGTAGTGGAGAGTTTACATCCCTGTGCAGCACTAGCACCAGAAGGGCACATCAGATAACATTTTAGGTGTTATGGCAAAATGCCTGGGGATAATAATGATTTACACATGCATTAAGCCTGGGGAGAATCTACTTCTGGCTCAAGAAAATCAACAAAACAGATCCCCCTCTACTCCAAGTAATCAAAAAAAAAAAAAAAAGGAGAGGAGATAAGAATCAATAAGAATTAATAGGAATAGAGATGAAAAAGGAAAAGGAAATATAACAGATACCTCAGACATACATAGCATTATTAGGAAATATTGCAAGCAACTATATGCCAGCAGCCCCACTTCCCATGCAGCTCCCTCCTTATGCCCTGGGAAAGCAGACAAGGAGAGCCCAATGCTTTGGGACCCTGCGCCTCCAAGGGAGGCCCGGAAGAAGCTCCTGGATCCTGGCTTTGCATTGGCTCAGCTCGGCCATTGCAGCCATTGGGGAGTGAATCAAGGGACACAAGATATTCCTCTCTATCTCTCTTCCTCTCTGTATATCTGAAATTTGGATGATCTAATTGGATCTCACCCTTTGAAGTTAGGTGTTTAAATCACAAAAAGTGATCACAATACTAATGTAGTTCCAGGTTTAGATAAGTCATTGGATTGGATTTAGTTTATTGGAAAAAGCTGGATGAGGATGAGGGCACAGAGGGAAAAAAACAAACAAACAAAACAACTTATATACTGCAAGCATGGCACTGAATGTAATTCTGGTGAAATCTGAATGCCAAATGGTATGATGAACTGGAAATAATGACTAGTTCTTGACTGTAGTCATCTCTCTCTTGCAAATTAAGTCTAATATTTCCTTTAAAGTTAGGTAGAAAGACTGCATTATTGTATTTTGTCCCAAGAACCCTGTCTGCATGACATACCAATTTTAAAACACGGAATTGTATGTGTGACTTATCCCTTGAGGACTAATTGTTAAACACCTAGGGACCACTCAGAGAAGCAGTTATATTACCTAGGACAGTGCTGAACAACTGAGAGTGTAGGGCTGCACTGCGTCCAGTAAAGAAATCAGCAATTCTTCATAAGGTAACAATGTGTTTTTTTAATGGTTTTAATTATATTTATAATGTTTTTAGTATTTTTCCACAAAAGTATGCCAAACCAAGAGACTACAAAACTCATTGAAACTATCCATTTTAATTACTTGAAACTGAATAGCATATTTCTTTTAAAATATTAGTGTACTCAAAAAGCTGAGCGAGAGGGAGTGATGAAACAAAAACAGAGAGATAATATATTCCATAGCATGATTTACTCCCAAAGCTCGAGTCAGGACTGGTGCCAGGCTGTAGAAATGAACATAGATATAACAGAAAAACGAGAATACTAGCATGTGCTAAAGAAGGCAGTCAGATGTTAGGTATCATTTTCAATCTCTTATGTGTATTCTTAAAATGTCTTCTGTTCTTTTAGTACAAAGAATAAAATAATCATTTTAAAATATGTCCACAGCGACACACATTTGTATAAGCAAAGATTTTTGAGACTTACACACTAATTATGCTTCTATTCTTCTGCCTTTAATTCCACTTTTAGACCTTGACAGAATGTAAGATATGTTCATCTAAAATATTGATTTGGTTCAGCTAGAACAGGATCCAGAGTCCAGTTATTGTTCCAATGACTGTTTACTCATAATCAAAATATAGAAGACATCAAAGCTATGCAAGACAGACAAGTGGAAGAAACTTATAAAAGCATACAGCGTTTTGGAAGCTGACTAAGGTTACAGCAGAATTTAGCAATGAACAACTTCATATTTGCTTGCTCAACATATAATCACAACAACCCAATGATGACTGATAAATTCTTCTCATAATTGGGCCAATTTTTATTATGCCATTTTGTACTTATTAAATAAGGATAACATGAATTTTATTTATTGATAATTTATTGAAGTTTCATAAGTAAATCATGATTTTTAAAAATCACTCTAATATCGTGCATCTATATTTAAAATGCTTGCTAGTGTAATAAAAAATGGAAAAACTCTATTACAAATACCAACATTTATAAATCAAAGTCCAGATGGCATGTATAGCACATCAAAATGTCAAAGAAATAGCAATCAGACCATCACTCAGATTCCAATTTTCCCTTCTCAGCAGGTAAATACACCTACTGTAATTTCACAGCCCTTTATAAATGTACACATGCAGAAAATAAAAGCCTGTGTTACAGGAACATTTACTAGTTCCACCTATTTTCATATTGCTGAAAATGTCCATTTAAGAGTTAGCAACAACGCAAATGCATGCATTGTGATTTAGACTTCTTCTTGCTTCTCTTTAGCTTTTCGGTTGAACTTCTCTCTGGAATAAAATGTCAGAGAAGTAGTAATGTGACAAACCAGTGAGGAAAAAAGATAGGTTAGTTCAACAAAACATGCTTCATTTTCAACAAACCAAATTCAAGCAACAAAAGATACCAAAACAATCATGTAACATGTTCCTGGCCCTGGCTTTGGAACGTCACAGCACCGAATGTTGCAGTCACTTGGGGAGTGAATCATTCAGCAGAAGATCTTCCTCTCTGTCTCTCCTCCACTCTGCATGTCTGACTTTGCAATCAAAATAAATAAATCCTAAAAAAAATCCAAACTATCACAATCTTGACATTCCTTTTGTTAGAACATAGGATACGAAACAAAGAAGAATGGAAAAGAAAAATTGCTCCTCAGTTACTGAATTCTTTCTCTTGGGAGTTACCAAAAACCCTAGGATGAAGGTGACCCTGTCCATCACATTTGCACTTGTTTATCTCACTAGCCTTCTGGCAAATCTCGGAATGATCACTTTAATCAGACTGGATCCCCGGCTGCACACCCCAATGTACTTTTTCCTCAGTCACCTCTCATTCTGTGACCTCTGCTACTCCACTGCAGTTGGACCCAAGATGCTCGTGGACATGTTTGCTACACACAAGTCAATTCCCTTCTATGGCTGTGCTCTGCAGTTCTTAATCTTCTGTATCTTTGTTGATTCAGAGTGTCTACTGCTGGCAGTGATGGCCTTTGATAGGTACCAGGCCATCAGCAACCCCTTGCTCTACACAGTCAACATGTCCAACAAGGTGTGTTCCCTGCTCATGGCTGGGGTTTACCTGGTGGGAGTGACAGACGCATTGCTACACACCACGTTGACATTTCGCTTGTGTTTCTGTGGCTCTAATGAGATCAATCACTTCTTCTGTGATGTCCCTCCTCTGCTGTTGCTATCATGCTCAGATACTCAGGTCAATGAGTTGGTGATCTTCACTGTGTTTGGATTCATTGAACTGAGTACTATCTCAGGAGTTCTTGTCTCTTACTGTTACATCATCTTATCAGTCCTAAAGATGCCCTCTACTGAGGGAAGGCTCAAAGCTTTCTCCACCTGCACCTCCCACTTAACTGCAGTTGCCATTTTCCAGGGAACTATGCTCTTCATGTACTTCAGACCAAGTTCTTCCTACTCTCTAGATCAAGACAAGATGACGTCACTGTTTTACACCCTAGTGATCCCCATGCTGAACCCTCTGATCTACAGCCTTCGGAACAAGGATGTGAAACAAGCCCTGGAAAAGCTGAAAAAACATATTTGTTAAGGTCAATAGGTAGCTTTTATATAAATATGCATATACACACAAATTTATACCATGTTTGTTCTTTCAAATTATATATTAAAATATAACATATGTATAAATAATGTATATCATATTAGGCTATATTAAATGGTGCATTACTATTACTGAGCTTCAGAAATATTTCACTGTGAATCTTCAGTTGAAATAATGGGCTATTTTCGAAAAATTTGGCTTGATTTGTAAATCTTTTCAATCATTATTTCATCTACTAATTTCTTATAAGAATGAAAGCTTATTCAATATGCCCATTGTATACTTCAATATGTTTTGCATTCCATGGAAAATTTCCTAGAATTTTGGTAGTGAGTTGTATCATGCATTTGAAACTATATTCCTTGTTTAAGAAATATATAACAGAATTCATAAAAAGCTAAGCAATTCTATGACATTTAAAAAATTATTTTAATTTCAACTCAAATGTTTACTTCTAGAATAGAGTCAGGAAATAATTTTTTCACATCACAAATATTAGCTTCAACTAAAAAATAAGTAGAGGCCCAAAGGTGTCTCAGTGTATTCCTTTGGCTCCCTTACATTCAGGTACATACCATCAGTTAACAAGGTTAATTTGACTCCTTCCTTTCCTACTTACAGACATTGAGTTTCCTTTTCTTGTCTAATGGCTCTGATTAAAACTTCATGAAATATACTGAGTGGTAATGATGAACGTTGGCAACTTTTTCTGGTTCCCTATGTTAGCTTCCAGGTTCCCCCCTTACTGGACTGGAGTTTCACATATATTGATCCTACTGTGCTAAGCTGTGTTTCTAGTATGGCCAATATGCTCAAACTATTGATGGTATAATGATGTTGAATTCTATCAAATACTTTCTCTGCAACCAGTTAGTGAATCATATAGGGTTTTTTTCCTTAAATATTTAATGTTTTGTAGCATGTCTATTGATTTGCATATGTGGCACCTTATCTGCATCCCTGGGACAAGTCCAACCTGAGTAGGTTGGACGATTTTTATGGTCTGTTGTTGAATTTAACTGCATAGTATTTTGCTGATATTTTTACATCTTGTTTTCATCAAGAGTACTAGTGTATTGTTCTTTGGAAATAAAGTGCTGCTGCACTCAGAAGAATTTTGACAAAATTTTCTGGCTTCTGGTTTTTTATTTTTTAGTAGTTTAAGAATCATTCGATTTTTAAGTCTTCTTTAAAACTTGGAGGAGTTCAGCAGTGGTCTTGGAAATTTCCTTGTGGTAGGACATTTAATACTGAGTTAATTTCTGTTTTATTGCAACTCTGTTTGGGTTTTTTTATGTCTTCAACTTGCTATGTTGGTAAACAGAATATGTCCAGAAATCTGTCCATCACTTCTGCATTTTCTAATTTGTTTTCCTCAAGGTCTCTATGGTGATACTTGGTGGTTGCTTAATTTCGATGATATTCACTGAAACGTATACTTTTTCATTTTAAGTTTTATTTACTTTGACCTCTTCCCTTTTATTGGTAAGCTGTGCCATGATTCATCTCATTTTAAAAAAAGGTCTTCATATTATGGAGCTTTTAAACACTAATTTTGTTTATTGTTTAATTTTTACGATTACTTTCTGAGTTTATAAGAGATTTTGCGAGGTTTCAGGATACAACTTTGCTTAGTGGATCATTAAGTTTGTGATTATAACATTGAATATGCATCATTGCAAAAGAAAATTAAAAGTAAGAAAGGCAGACAAGGGAAGGTGGAAAACATTTTTATGTTCCTAACAGTATACCTTGGAAATATGGAAAATCTGCTTCTATCATGTAAATATAAATTTAAAAAGCAATTAGTAGAACTACTAGGAATAGTAGTAAAAGGAACATATTCTTGAAGCACAGGCTAGAGGTTAATGATTCTATGAAGACAGGGAAAAGCCTTTGAAGAGAAAGTTAAACATTTAGGGCATAAAGAATCAAGTGGGGGACCTGGCACTGTGGTGAAGCAGCTAAAGTCCTCACCTTGCACATGCTGAGATCCCATTTCCATGCTGGTTCTAATCCCAGCAGCCCTGCTTCCCATTCAGCTCCCTGCTTGTGTTGTGGTAAAACAAAGAAGGATGGCCCAAACCTTGGGACTCTGCAACCACATGAGAGACGTGGAAGAGGCTCCTTGCTCCTGGCTTTGGACCAGTGCAGCGCTGGCTGTTGCGGCCTCTTAGGGAGTGACTCAGCAGACAGAAACTTTTCCTCTCTGTCTTTGCTCTTCACTGTATAGCTGATGTTCCAATAAAAAACAAACAAACAAACAAAAAAGCGGGAAGAATTTGTGCTTGTCTTATGATTAGTGATGCTTATTCTTATTTGCTGGTCTTCATTACTTGTGTCTTTCTTTGTGGAATGACTGTTCTGGCATTTTTTCTACTGTTTCCTCAAATTATTGCTTTTGTTGTTATTACTACACAGTTGTTTGCGTTCCAGTGGGGTTTAGGTAGTGATATTCTACTGTTCAGCAAGATGAAGATAGCCAAGTATACATGGAATACTTCTAGATAGCTAGAAAAAGTCAAGTTTGCCTTGCAGAGTGAAATGAAAGTGTATCATTTTAAAACAAAGAGAAAAAATAAGGAAGGAGAAGGTTGAATGTGTTATGTGGGCAGGAAGGGTGGTAGGCTGGGATGTTGCAGCATGCTCCTGTGTCTGTATTGTGAAATATGTCAAATGTATCCAATGTAAATACATAAATAAAAGACAATTCAAATGCTTCCCAATGAATGAAAAATAAATGTTAAAAGTGGCAGATTTGTTTATTGATCTGATTATTACACAACATGCATATTCATTTTAACATAATGTACATAATGTATCCTAGCATAATGTACACAATTTACACGAAAACCATGAGTCAATTTAAAGTTAGGCATCAAAACAAAGTTGCAAAGACACACTGCCATGAAGTCCATCCAACTACTGACACTACTAAAGCAGTCATTTGTATTTAGCCTTTTGTCTTGATGATTCTAATTGCAGGAATTCTGATGAGTCAATATGAACCACCAAGAGAGTAGCCTATCACCTCAATGACTGCTCAGTATCTCCAGCATGAAACATGAGAATTCTTGGTGCAGTGACTGCAAGCTGCACACCTGTCCTCATACAAACATCAATGACACTCATACCTACACATTACTGTTGGAGAATGTGAAGAAAGTGAGGGTCTTAGGCTTACCTTTGCAGCTGACCTTGTAAAATGCCCTGTGGAAGGTTCTGTTTGAAGCGGGGGGGGGGGGGCCGGTGTGGGACACTGATACCCAATAGGAAAATATAGTGATGGAAAATATGTACAAAGAGTTCTTTTGGAAAACGATTTTGAAGTGTCTCCATCCAATTTCAAATGTTTTCAATCTATTTGATCCCTTTTTCAAATATTTCTTGTAAGATCGAATATGCAGAAAACATCATAGCTGTTGCTAAAAACTGTAATATGGTTATAATATAGGGGGAAAGATGAGATGGGGAGAAGGAAAAAGGGAAAATGTCTGAGTCAAAAAACTACTTCATTAAAAACAAAAATAAAACAATATAAATAAATAAACAGACAGACTTGGGGCCAGCAAAAGGGTACACCCTGCTAATCGTTAGCCTATAGTCCCAGCATCCCATGAGAGGGCAAGTTCATTTCCAATGCTGCTCTCTGCTTATGGACTAGGAAAGCATCAGAGGATGCCGAGGTCCTTGGGCCCCAGAGCCCATATGAAAGATTTTGAACAACTTCCAAGGCCAGTGCATTAGCGTAGCAGTTAAAGTCTTCATCTTGAACACACCCAGATCCAGCATGGGTGTTGGTTTTAATCCTAGCAGCCCCACTTCCTGTCAAGTTCCCTGCTTGTAGCCTGGGAAACCAGTCGAGGATGGCCAAAACCTTGGGACCTTGCACCCACACATGGGAGACCTGGAAGAGGTTCCTGGCTCAGATCGTCTCAGCTCCAGTTGTTGCAACCGCTTGTAGAGTGAATCAAGTGAATCAATGGACGGAAGATCTTTTCTGTCTCTCCTCTATATATAGCTGACGATCCAATAAAAATAAATAAATCTTTAAAAGAGAAAAAGGTCGTTCCTGACTTCTGATTCTAGATCAGCTCAGCTCAAGTCATTGCGGACATTTGTGGAGTGAAGCAACAGATGGAAAATCTCTCCTTCTCTGTGTAAAATTGCCTTTCAAATAAAAATAAATAAATCTTAAGAAAAATATTTTAAAGGTGTCACAAATTGGCAGTTTCACGGATTATGCCCAATTCTGAAGATAAGTGACAGCTCATTCATTCAAAGGCCTTATGACTTTTATGTCATAAAAAAACCAATTTGATCTGCCTCTTGAATTGCTTAATTACATTCAGGTAATAGTCAAAAAGTAAGGAAATTATAATTGTTAGAATAATGGATCTTAAGCCCCTGAAATATGTGTCTAAAGGAGGAAATCACCAAACTGATTTATTGCAGCCTACATTTCATTGAACTTGTTCAGCAAAATGAATGAAAATGTTTTAGCTGGGTGTATTGTTAAGATTTTCCTCTTAAAGAAGATTTTGAAACAAATAGTCTAAAATAACCCCTTCATTCTGGAATTTTATAGAAATAGGAAAACCTGTCAAAAGATATTAATATCTTCACTTAGGTCTCCAGCATTTCTTTCCACTTGGCACACTCTTCACATATATTCACCAGCATTAGGGAAAAGATAGTATTATCCAAATATGCACAAATTGACTATTGTAAAACCTAAAAACTTATAGTCATATTCCAATATCTTGACTCCTTCCCTTCTGCCTTGACACTAAAATGTAGATTTATATTAGATAAATATAGTAACAGACACAGCTCTAACTGTAGATTGGCTAAGTACACTGTTACAGTGATCACTGTGATGCTTATCAAGTCAGTCTGCCTCATTTTACATCAATTTACTACAATGTAAAAAAATAGGGGGAGAGTGGCCCAGACTAGATTACTTAAGATGTTTTCTTGTAGTATAT